TCTAAGAGTCAGTAGAGCTGAGAATTTTGTCAGTGTAGAAAGCTTTCTTTGCATCAGTGATGATGGCAGAGAATGAGGACAGTAATTCATGAAATTTCAATTGATCACCAGGATCTTTAGTTTTGCGCCATTTCCATTCCGCAGCTCTAAGATTGGTGCGTAGAGACCAGAGGGTGTCATTTAGCCAAGGGTGCGACTGAGATGATCTAGCTGGTCTAGTGGCTAAAGGGCACAAGTTGTTAAGAAAAGAGCAGAGTGTGGAGCAGAGTGACTCGGTGGCATCATTCACTTCATAAGCAGAGAATGTGCTGGGAGATGGAAGAGTGGAGGCAACAAGAGAGGAGAAGTGGTTGGGTGCCAGATTGCGGAGGTTGCGGCAGAATGAGACCATTGGGGAGGAAGCAGTGGACCTCCCTTGTAGAGTCATGCTGAAATGGATGAAGTAATGATCGGAAAGATGCAGCGGTGTGACAGATTGTGTCTATGGCACAGTTTCTGGTGAAAATGAGGTCAAGTGCTTTTCCAGCTTTGTGAGTTGGAGGACTTTGTACTAGTTTTAGATCAAATGATGACATCAGTGACAGGAAGCCTGATGAGCTGGGATTGTCCAGGTGAATATTCATGCCTCCAAGGACCAATGTGGGACAGTCGTGCTCAGGAATGCAGGGTGTCGAGTTCATCAAGAAAGTCTACGAGTTGACCTGGTTGGCGATATATGACAACCAAAAAGAATTTTTTCGGTACAGGCATGGCATGGTATTCAAAGGAGTTGTATTTAGTGATGGGTAGCAACTGACTGTATATCCATTTGTTGGAAATTAACATGCCCGTTCCACCACCTCTGTCAGATGCACGAGAAGTGTGGGAGAAAGTGTTGTTAATTGAGAGAGCAGATGGGGTGGCATTGTCACATGGTTTGATCCAGGTCTCAGTGAGAGCCAGTGCATCGAGTGACAGGTGGTTTGCATATGCGGTAATGAAGTCTGTCTTGTTTACAGCTGGCAGTTCCACAGTCCCATAGACAGGTGGGTGTCTTCGGGGGGAGTTGGTTTTAGCGAGCGGAGGTTTTGAAGGTTGCGAAAGCGGTTTGCTGTGTGTGACCTTCCTCTGAAGCCAGTGATCACAGGTATAGGATAATGGCACATTTTGCAAGGTGTCGATGGAGCAGCGTCTGGGTCGAGTTTGTTTGCTCTGTGTACCTGCTCTGTGAACACGCGCAGGTAGACACGTATGTCTTTACCCCGGAGTGTCTTCACATCGGAGGAGCTGAGACACTAGGGCTGACGCTTCAGTTATGCCACCAAACTTATGCTGTGCAACTAGTTGGAAACAGGTGTTCATGCAGCAGCTGATTGCAATGGTTGAGACCTAGATCACCTGATGAGTGTTTTCAGGGAGGTGATAAACAGCTCGTTCACAGCCCCTGACCGCACTTATTGTTTTGCAATTATGTGGACAAAGGGCAAGCTGTGGTTGCTAACAAACCATCCAAGCAGTTTCTGCATCTTTTTATCAGTAAGTACATTTATTTTGCTGGTTGAATGGGGGAAATGCTGTGTCATTTAACTGCTTGGTCCAACATGTTAGTGAGGCTGCATAAGAACCTTGAGCAGGTGGCTTCTCCTGTCTTCTTCCCGGGAACAGTTGCTAGAGCAGGTGACTGGCTGTTCCTGTTTACTGGGGCAGCCGGGCCAGCTCCGATGCGAGGCTGTAGTCATGCTGGTCATTGGTGGATCTCTGAGGGACACCACAGAAACACTGCAGCTCATTTTGTTGACACTGCTTCACTTTTGATTTGCTAAACCACATTTTTCTTGCTACTAATTTGGTGGTTGAATGAGGGGAAATTCTGTGCATTTACCATAACATTGCTTGGTCTAGATGGGTGTTGGTGTGGCTGCTGGGTAAAAAAACACTAGAGCTATAGATGTGACTGAGGATAGCGGAGGCTATTGGGCTTCGCTGGTCCACCGCGGTCTAAAGGTGGTTTTCCAGGAGCACTACTCAGAGCAACTTGGGCCGATGCATCTCAGCTCGACCGCTGTTCTCTAGGACACTGTTCGGTTTGTTCCCGCTACTTTCTCCCCTATTTTTAGGCTCTGCTCCGTTGAGGTACCTGGCAAGGCTGAGTCGGCCGGCATTGTGATTCTGACCGCTGATTGGCTAGGGGGCGGAGTCACTGGTTGCTCCGGAGTTTTTTGCTTTCCGTTTCACTGCCTGCCGTTTCCTGGTTCAGAGTCTGACAAAAAGCCATAAAACTGAGCAAAATGTCCAGCAACACCATTTTTCAGCTGAGTTGTGTTTCTGTGGAGCGTACAAGTTACCTTACACTGTTTATTGATCACCTCATGTTATTTTGTCACGAGTAAAAATTGTGCCTATGAGGGACGCACCCACTTTCTATCATGGAGCTGGCATGAGAACGATACACACTGGGCTGATTCAAACCACGCTGTACAGAGTAGCGTTCCTAGAAAACCACCTAAAGATCCGCTGCTGAGAGCAGAGTCCACAATGGCAGACTCCTAGATCTTTGACTGTGGTGGAACCCAAAAGCCCGATAGCTTCGGCTATCCACGGTCAACTTACCTAGTTATGATTTCGTTACTAAGCAGGCCAGAGGTACCTTTACTTTGGAGTCGCTCCACCACGTTTTTCTTGCTGAAAATCTCCATTAGCTTTGGGTTAGCATGCATCACGCTGATCTTGGGCTCACGGAGCCGGTGTTCTGACTATTCTACCGCAGCGTGTTACAACAGTTTCTCTCTTGTTTACTGCATAGTAACACGCTTATTAAACACAGTTTATTTTAAATAGGTGATATTACTCAAAAATACAGAACTGTAGTATAATTATTAGCAAAAATATAGTGTTTGTCATGATTCCGTGAATGACAGTAAACACTGGGAGAAATTTCTTGTTTACTGTACAATAACAATATATTACAAGGCATTTACAAGCTAACTGTCAGATAAACATACAACAAGCAGAAATATAACAACTTCCAGAGGTAGCGCGATACTAAGCAGGCCAGAGGTACCTTTACTTTGGAGTCGCTCTACCGCGTTTTTCTTGCTGAAAGTGCCCGGAAAAATGGTGGGGGGCATGGATAGCGGTTTTGCCTCTGTCAGTGTGCCCCAGGGCAGCTGTGGCTACAATGTAGCTCATCTCTATCAGTGTGTGAATGGATGATGATTCAATGATGTGTAAAGTGCTTTGGGGTCCTCTGACTCTGAAGGGCATTGGTTGTTTTGTTTTCATAAGGCTCAAAGAACAGCTTTCAGTAGTAAAAAATAAATTCTAGGGCCTCTTTAAAACTCTCCTGCAGAGCTTCAATTACCTCCTGACTCGACCTCCATGCACAATCAGCTTTTTAACAACAGGGGCATAGTGTGATTTACAAGAACTGTGATGCAAATAGTCAAGCGGGGGGAGGGGTTAGGTCGGTATGTATCCTTTACTTCTGGATACAGGAGGTTCAAAGTGTTTTTGTCCCGTTTGCATTCTGGTAAAAGGTTTGGAGGTTGTGGTTGGCCTCCATTGATGAACAGTGACGTTTCAACCATAATGTTCATGACGTCATGCTGATGTTACTGCACATGGAACTCATGCACTCACAACTAAAAGTTCAATGTCCAAACTTTTCAACATCACAAATTTGTAATATTACAGCCAGAATTTCTCAAGTGTGATTGTTTGACAAATTAATATCAATGTAGCCTCAAAGGTTTATCTGTTTACATCCTTCTGCTTCTCAGACATAACTATTTAAATGTGTATTGTTGCTTTTCTCTTTTGCAATGAGGTATTTTTCTGAGATTTGTCCTCTGCTGTTAGAGCACTATAAGGGAAATTAAGACGGTAGCTTTTTTCCTAACAAATACTCTGGGATACTTTTCTGCTGGTAAACCTTGGGACAGCCAAGTAAAGAATTAAAATGTTTTATATTTTTGACAAGTTTCAACTGCCAACTAGAAAAGCTTAAAAAATAACAAAGTAATTCCTGCTAGGGCCTAATTTGTTCTCCCTGATGCTGGTTTAAGAAGCTCAAAGTGATTCCTTCTCCTTCAGACTGTCTCGTTGCAGCAGAGCTTGTTTGGTCTGTCGGTTTGCTGAGTCAGCTTCTCTGGGCTGGAGCCCAACTTCACCGTGAGTCTGCATTAAAACCAGAGTGAAGCCAAACCCAATCACTGCACCAAGGGTAGATAGATGGGTATGGTTTTACAGCCCTGTGCTAAAAATGAAACCTAAGCAGTGCTGGTGTGCAGCAGTGCATGCGCTGCTCCTCATGAGGCCACGCCTAAGATTCCAGCAGCAGTGGCCTCCCACCCAGAACGTTTGTGTTAGTAAATGAAACGCACACACTCAGTTTACATTCGTGCACATGAGGCACGAGGCTGTGTGCAGTAAAGCACCATTTCGGGAGGCCAGAACAAATAACTACTGTTTGTTAAAAATAAAACAGAACAAGTGGAGATTTTTAATTTGTATTATTGGATAAATTCTATAAAACCAAATAAAACCATATGAATTATAAAACACATTGAACCAAACAGGTCTGCATTTAGGTCAGGTTGTAACACCATGACTGTCGCCCTTACTGAGTTAAACTATCAGCGTGATAATGTAGAATTGGACAGTGTGTGTGTGTGTGTGTGTGTGTGTGTGTGTGTGTGTGTGTGTGTGTGTGTGTGTGTGTGTGTGTGTGTGTGTGTGTGTGTGTGTGTGTGTGTGTGTGTGTGTGTGTGTGTGTGTGTGTGTGTGTGTGTGTGTGTGTGTGTGTGTGTGTGTGTGTGTGTGTGTGTGTGTGTGTGTGTGTGTGTGTGTGTGTGTGTGTGTGTGTGTGTGTGTGTGTGTGTGTGTGTGTGTGTCCTTCAGAGAGACAGAGAGAATTGTCGGTGTCTCTTGATTGGTTGTTGTTCTGAATTTCAGCAAAACAAGCTCCAAACTCCTCCTCGTGAGCATGTGACGCAGCCTGCTTCCTCCCACCCGCCCCCCCACCCCTCCTCCTCCAGATAGTTGACTGTGAGCCTGTCAGAACGCATTATGCTCATATGTCTGTACGATGGCGGGAGCAGAGGCAGGTCTCTGAGTGTTTTATATAACAGCTCTCTGCAGGTTTCAGGTTCTTCACTCAGTTTGAAGCCTCAACCATAAAAACATCTTGATTCAGTAGTAAGGCACGTTTTCCACACACGATGAGGATGGGTTACTTTGGTTAAGTTAAAATGACAATACAAAATGAGTCACAGCTCTAGAACAAAGCAGGACCGTCCAGATAGACCAGAAGCAGACACGAGGTAGAAGAGGAGTAAAACACAAACAGTCCGGGCCACCGCAGCAACCTGGAGCTCTGCGGCTGGACGTGGAAATACAATTCAGGGAGAAACAGGTGCAACACTGTTAAAAACACCCCAACATCAGAATAAAAAATGCCGTAGAAATACAGACGTCTCTGTTTTTGTCACAACTCGGGATCACAGGTCAGCTCGGTCCATTTGTCTCTAAAGTGCAAGGTTCCTGCTGCCTTCGTGTGACGTTTGTTTCACCGTAAATACAAGCTGCTGTCAGCGAAGCAGGGCCAGGGCTTCTCCAACAGGTCTGATGGACCGGATCGGGTCACACTGAGAGACCAGGGTCAGAACCTGTCTGATCAGCTGCTTGTTCATTAGTGGAGAGGAAATAAAAACCTTTAAAACATGTTAAACGTGTCGTTTTCTCCGTTGGGAGTCTTGATGATTTAGTGTTTTGTTGCTGCTTGACGTCTCATCTCCAGATTACAGATTAGCGACCAGTTCTTCTACCAACCACTCAAATAAACAGGAGAAATAATCCAGGCTGAGTGGTTCTAATGTTCTGCTGTGAGCCATCAGAAACAGTCGGTCCACGTACTCAGAGGAAGCCCAGGTCTCCTGACAGATCCACATTTAGCTCCTTCTACCTGAGCTGCTAAGGAATTTCATCATCTGCTGTACAACTGATCCCTGGTCTGTTTCTGGAAGCTCTGAGACATTACCTCTGCTCCACAGGAAGTTTAACATCGTCTGTTGAGCCGATTTAAATAAAAATAAATATGCTTTCATTCAAATCAAGTCGAAATGTTGAGAACAAAGTGAAAATATCTTTTCCAGAATGAAATAGAAATGTGAGGACTAAAATGGTTGTACTGAATCCAAACTAAACCAGAACAGGTGCAAAGGCCTACATTACCCATAATGCCTTGAGGAAAAGAACTACAGTGACCTAACAGCTCAGAACCAGGTTCACTTCCTCTGAATTTTTATGGAAATTATATTTTGACTTGTGTCAACATTTTGACTTCAATCTGAAAACTGGAAATAAAAACCAAACATTCGTCCTGACCAGGCTACAGGTCTGGGTTTTACCTGACTCTGGATTTATAATAAATTGTTTATAACAAACGTGTCCATAAATCTGATTTAATTGGTTCTGCCCCATAACCTCCGGTCAGAGAAGATTCCTGGTGGTTACGACTTCACCAGAACCTCCATGATGTGGTCCAGCTCATTCAGGTCCATCAGACGGGATGTGAGAATTCCACCTGTGGAATGGCTGGAAGGAGGAGGCTTCAGGTCTTCATCAGGCCACAGAGACACACTGATAGGCCACAGAGACGCTGCTGTCCATGCAGAAGACAGATCAGAAGTCTCGTACATTGATGTGTCGATGTCCTCAAATATGTCATCCAGAGGGAGGTCACTCAGGTAGCCCATAGCGCTAGCAGCATCACTACTGATGGGCAGAAGCTTCTGCTGCTCCATGGAGATGTTGGCTTCCTGAGAAGGGAGTGATGGGGACAGCGGGAGAGACCGACTCTCATCGTCTCCTCCTGAACACCCAGGACAGGTCAAGGGCATGACCTCTCTGATGTCGTCCCTGAGAAGACGGGAGTCTCTGCATGAACCTGGGACAGACGCTCCCGTCCCATCACTCTGCATCTCCTCCTGGATCTGCCGGAGCGTGTTGATGAGCAGCACTGAGCGCCGAAGGCTGAGCTCCATGCCCACCTTACAGTCCTGAAGCTTCTCCAAGCAGAGGCTGAGCACCAGCTGACGCTGCTGCAGGTGACTCGAGGACAGTTTGGACACCTCATCCTGTCTGTCCTCCCCCACCAGCTTCCCCACAGCATTAGGGAGCACCTCCACGTCCAGCTCCTCCAGGCTGCTCCTCTTCCTCTTCACACCTCGACCCAACATGGACCTACAGTAACAGAAGACCCAACACACTGTTAGGTACACTCGACATTCTTCTCAAGGTCAAATGAGACAATCAGCTCTGAGCAGGTGTGATGTGAAGCTAGATGGTTCCTCAGATCACCTCTACTCTGAGTTTGGATTTCAGAGCGTCTGAGAGCTTCTGGTTGTTTGATCTCATGGTTCTGGATGAGGTGTGAGGCTTGGATAGGACCAGAGTTTGAACCCTTCAATGTCTCACATATGAGGTAAGGATATATTTATAAAACAACATGTTGGCTAATATCAATACTACAATCCTATAATATGATAATACAAAATAATAAAAGTTACACTTTTCAGTTGTAGTACTTTGATTCCCCATCAGTAGGCAGCAGAGCTGTATCAAATTTTTGAGGAACTACTAATCATGTTACAGAGGTAGAGGTCAAAGGTTAGGAGTCCTAAAATGTATCAACTAGTTAAATCAGCTCTGTGTTGGACAGAAGTGTAATAAATAATAATAATAACACATCCAACCACCAAGGAACACTGTACTAAAAGGCAGAATTAATGGATGAATGAATGAATGAATAAATAAATAAATAGACTGGGCTCTGTTTGTTCTTGGATACTTCCTGTCAAGACTTACCAAAATAAAAGACATAGCTGAACAAGAGTGAGACGAAGGGAAAACTCATCCTAGGTATGGATCAGAGGACTGAGCTCTCCCTCTGTTAGTTTTGCACAAATAAACCAGGATGTGGATCTAAACAAGATTTTTAAATTAACCATGAGCTGGTTGATGCTCTTTTTACTAAGCACAGTTCAACTTGGTGTTTAAAACTGTTTCCTCGGAACTTTTGTTATTTCTTTGAAGCTAGTTTTATCTCCACCGGACTCGTTTCAGCTCTAGACGCCCCAGAATCAGATGACCCCTTCCCCACTCGGAGAGACTCACCAGCTCTGTTTAATCCTGGTTCAGCTGAAATAACGAGAATAAAAAGCGACGTTTTTTTTTTTATGAAAATCGGAGAAAACCTTACCTTACGTGTCCTTGGACCGTGTCATGTGGTTAATAAATCCGTAATGTCGTAGCCTCAGTTGGTTCCGTCGAGTCGTTCCAGTACCGGACTGAGAGGAACGTACGGTCCAGCCACAGCTAGAGGGAACAGGAGGGGAGGGGCAGGGCTTTAACATAAGAGCGCCTTCTGATTGGCTCCTTTACATGTCAATCAAGCCTTCGCCTCAGCATCTCACGGGGCAGCGAATGTGCACTGCTGCCTTCAAGAGCAGCTCGGAATAATGGAACCTCAAGATGGTTCTTGACTTTTCCAAACTACACGCCGGATCTAAAAGATTCCCCAGAAACCACGAATCCGTCCAGAACATTTTCTGTATGACGCTTCAGTTTAAAGCAGATGTCTAAAGATCTAAAGTCTAAAATCTGTTTGGCTCTTTGATCATTGATAAAATTCCTCTGAAATTCTAAAACTTTCACAAACAAATCCCCAGACATGAGCAGAGACCTCTCTTTTTTAAACAAAAAAAAACCCTTATTTTTTCAAGGCTCTTACGATTCTGCTGCTCAGATCAAATGGACTACGTTGTTTTTTATGTTCCACTAAAGTTAAAGCAGCCATTTTTGTCGCTGTTGTTCCTGGTACCCTAAATCATCTCAGAGAACGTTTATTGATCTTGATACATTTCCATCCAGGTGACGGACTAGTGAAGAGATCCATTTGCATCAAGGCCTGGTCTGAAAGAATGTCTGGATCCTGCTTTCCAAATCTTTATTAACCAGCAAGTTAATTCAATTCAAATTCAAAATTCTAAAATACTTTATTAATCCCAGAGGGAAATTGATTGCTGTAGTAGCTCATAATAATAATAATAATAATAATAATAATAAGAAGAAGAAGAAGAAGAAGAAGAAGAAGAAGAAAAAGAAGAAGAAAAAGAAGAAGAAGAAAAAGAAGAAGAAGAAGAAGAAGAAGAAGAAGAAGAAGAAAAAGAAGAAGAAAAAGAAGAAGAAGAAAAAGAAGAAGAAGAAGAAGAAGAAGAAGAATCAAGTCATCAAAGAGTTATTGTATAATACAATGGCTGTTGGCAGGAAGGATCTCCAGTAGCGGTCAGTGTTGCAGCTAAACTGAAGAAGCCTCTGACTGAAGACACTCTTGCATGGTCGGACAGTCTTATGAAGAGAATGCTCAGGGTTGTCCTTAATTTTCTTGACTCTCTGGAGAATCCTTCTTTGCATTATCTCCTCCAGCGGTTCCGAAACTGCACAATCGGCATGAGGACTGGGGGGGGGGGGGGGGGGGGGGATCTTTACAGTATATTCAAATGAGAAATGGGCTTCAACACAAACGTTTTGTTTTTTTCCGTTTGGTCCTAGAGCTCAACCAGTGTCTATTTAAAGTAGCGTAATTTTTTTTTTTGGGGGGGGGGGGGGGGGGGGGGGTGAAAAGCGCAGGAGTCAAAACTTGACTTTGGAAAAAGTGGGGGGGACATGTTCCCCCCCCCCCCAAAAAAAATTGCATCCATGTAACAAACACATCATTAGGTACACCTCTTAACATGAATATCAGCATGCAGTCATTGTAGTTTCACCTGGAGATGACCTGATGAAATTCAATCTGAGCATTAACCCGCTTAGCCTCAAAATAAGTTTTGATAAAAGGACGAACAACAAGTCCTTCATGGGTACTTCTGAGTTTAAAAAATGCTCATGAAATGTGTATGTGGAGTAACCAGGTAGATAGGTTTTAACGTTGCAAATCTGCAACACCTGCCTCCAGAGGGTTAAAATGGAAAAGAAAGGAAATCAAAGAAACTTTGAACATGTTTGTTGGTACCAGATAGGCTGATCTGAGTGCTGATCTACTGGGATTTTAACCCACAACCATCTCTGGAATTTGCAGAGAATGGTCGGGAAAACAGGAAATTTCCAGTGAGGTAACAGCTTAGTAAATGAAAATGTCTTGTTGAGGTCAGAGGAGACTAGTTAGACTGGTTCTAGACTGTATAAAGACACCAGGTGTTCCAGTAACCACTGGTTCCACCAAGGTCTGCAGAACCACAGCAGGTGTCTCCTGTCAGCTAAGAACAGGAAACGAAGGTTCCAGTTTAGAATCACCACAACTGGACCAGAAGAGACTGGAAAAACCTTTCCTGGTCTGAGTCTGGATTTCAACATTCAGATGGTCGAATCAGAGTTTGGTGTCACCACCATGGATCCAGTGGTTCAGCATACTGATGGTGTGTGTGAGTGTGTGTGTGTGTGTGTGTGTGTGTGTGTGTGTGTGTGTGTGTGTGTGTGTGTGTGTGTGTGTGTGTGTGTGTGTGTGTGTGATCAATTTACATCTTTTGTTGGATAAAGTCCATTCACAAAACAATGAAAATGTTGTTTAATTTTCTGAGTCAATCCATAGATGGTTTCAGATCGTTTGTGTCGTGTTTGTAATTATTAATTATATTTTTGTTATTTTTGGTATGGTTTCAATGTTCTTAATTAGTTGTTTGACAGTTGATTTCATTTATTTGCACAGTTGTTTTCCCTGACAGGTCTTATTTATTATAAATAGCAATGTGACATAAGAAGAAGTTTGACGGATTGACATTTGAACGCAGCATTTTAAAGGGACAGATGACTCAGAGGGGAAGAGAAGGAATGTGATCAGACAGGAAAGATAAACTCCAAATAAGGCAACTTCCTTTCTTTTCCTTTTTCTGTCTCTGATCGGGAAGTAAACTCCATTTAATCGCTTTAAAACTGAAACTGTGAAGTTTTTTAGGGAAGCACAAACACAGCCATTACCTTTGAACCGTCTCAGTTTAGCTCATTAGATGTTATCTGTTAAAGGAGGAAATGTAAATAGGGACAATCAAACCATGTTGTTTGAGCACTGGCAACATGGAGACAGACTGAGAAGAAGACCTGCGAAAAACTAAGACTCTTTAACACAAACTCACCTTAAAAGATAAAAACTGTTCTAAACATCTCATAGTTCAGCTCTCTTTTCCCAAAACTATCTGAGCACCGTCGTTTTGGGGGGTCCTTTATTTCAATGATGACTCGATTTTTCCTCAGGCTGTGTTTTTGCTGACTCATCAAGAGGACATTAATCTTTAACCAGATAGCAGGTCGAGTATTCAGAGGGAGGTACAGTCAAATGACCAAGCACCTCCTTGCATTCTCAGAGACTTTATTAAATAACTTTAACCCCCGTATCTTAAAACCTACTAGGTCTGATTTGATTGAACTGTTTTTCTCCAGGTTGTAAAACAGTCAACCAGACCTTCACCGAAGTTGATGAAAGGGTCATGGGAGTTTGGTTCTTTTGTGTGTGTTTTTTTACTCAAAGGTCTGGAATTGTACCCCCCTGGTGCTCTGTGAGGATCTCTTTATGTAGATGATGTGCTTCTGTTGGCACCATCAATGTGCGAAGGGGTGTGAAGCCTCATAGATCAGAGTCAGTTCCTTCAGCTCTGGTCACTTCTCTTGTTCCTGACAGAAGACAGGATGAAGAAGAGGTGGACTGCCAGGTCAAGGCTGTCTGCAATAAGGATGCTGTCTACACTTGAACCCACACCTGGTCATGAAATTTGGATCTGGACCAAAAGAATGAAATCCTAGAATAAAGTGGCTGAAAATGATATTTCTCTTTAGGGTGGCTGGTTTCACCCTCGGAGATAAGGAGACTCCATCATAAAAGGGGTGGAGGTGGAGTCCAAGTATCCCCTCATGCTATCAGCGCTAACCCTGGTAGGAGATACCTGGACTCTACAGAGGTTGCACTAGTAGTCCTGCTCTACCAGGATGGGCTATGTGCCATCGACAGATTTAGTGCATTTTTCTGCAGTCATGATCATGGAGGAGACTCCAGGAGACAGGTTGTTACTCTAGCAGAGCTGGACAGGGACATCAAAGTTCCTTAACCCTTCTGCAGGACCAACATCTGCTGCTACTTTGAAGGACAAGAATGATTGCTGCCAGAGCCCTACAAGGTGTCGCATGTTTAAATGTCTCTATCCAAAGCAGCAGAAAGAGTTAATGATGGGGTCCTGCATGATGTCCTAGTGGACCCTGTTTCTGTGCACATAAAAACTACTGAGGACCATTGTGAGTTGCTGCAATGAGATTTCTGCTTCAGATTCATGGTGATATTAAATCTTGACCCCCAGTAGGTTAGATCATTTTCATCCAGTGATGCATCAGTTATCCCCTAACACAGTGTGTGTGTGTGTGTGAACGTTTATGTGCATGCACACATGTATGTTTATGTATGTAAATGTACACGTGTGTGTGTGTATATTCGAAGGTCCACTACGACTGCTATAATTTATAACACCGAAAAGTCTTTTGATGTGTGGACAGCTGATCCGAGCATTCAGCCAGACAAAAACGACACAACAAATAATTGCAATTTTTATTATAAAAAATATTTACAAAGATGCTACGATGTATTTGAATATAAAAAATGCATACATTTTACATCAACATTAGTCTTTGAACTTCTAGCTCCCATTCAGACTACAGTGACATCCTTCAGGAGTGTGTGTAAGGTTTTCAGCGTGTTGTAATACTGTGTTTGAAGGAATAGATTTTATTTGCCTGAGTTCTTGTTTTAATCACAATACAGAAGAATTTTTGAAAAAATGCATTTCATTTTCCACATATTCAAGAGAAAGGCAACTGTTGCATAAAAGAATTTAAGGACATTTCAGTTGAATACAGTCATATAGAAACACATATGACAGAGCTGCATAGTAATTTGAAGATTACCCAGTTATTATTACTAATAGTGATAAAAAAATTGGAATAAATTATGTCATGGAGGGCAAAAACGTGGGCAGAATTTAGATAAATATGATTTCACCAGACTTCATGGTTGAATCGGTAGGTCAATATGGCATGTTTGTACCTAGATAAAATAAATACAATAAATAAAATAATAAATTAGACTGGTTAAACATTTGCAGCAACAACTTACAGAAAGAAATATGGCTTCTTGATGCAGTTATCACCCCAGGGTTTCTTCAGATGCTTCAGGAAAAAGCTGCTTCTTATTGGAATAAAAGCAGAGCTGGAAAAATACTTGATTTACTGAGTGGAAGCTGAAACTCATCAGAACCGAACAAACCTTAACCCACATGAAGTTGTTTTTCCTGCTCTGCGTAAAGCTTTGCAAAAAAATAGAGAAAGAACAGCGCCTATCGAGTGTCGCCATGCCGACACCTTTCACAGTCGACTCACCAAACCGTCGGACATCAGCGCCTCAAGTCTGGCTCCGATAAAACCTTAAAACCACGGGGAGGGAAAAATACCAAATGATACTTGCCAAAGGAAAAAAAATTCCCCTAACTATAACGCAAAAATATATTTCTATATACACATACGTACATATACATATATTTCATTCATAATTGCTCAAATCCCTAAGAAAATATGCATTGATTCATAGATTTGGATTTACAATTTGTTCTGTTCCTGGTGCATGTAGTGTGTGAACTGTGTCTTGGTCCTTGTAACAATAAATAGAAACCGGACTTAAAAGGCAGAATAAGACCAGAACGAGTCATGTAGACAGAATGTTTAAAGACAAACGTGGAAATGATGTAAATTAAAAATTCATTATGGAGTAATCTTTGTATGTCACAGATATGACAATGTTTTTGGGTTTTATCAACAAGGCAGGAAAGTGGACAACCAAATCCATTAAACTATCTTCAGCTCAGACAAGAAAACCTTCCTAGTCTGGTCTAAAGTTTCCCACCTTGCCCCCAAAACCCCAGACAATCTGTGTGTAACACCAAAAACATGCACGCATTCTGTGCATAGTCTGGAACCAGTCTGTGGGTGGAGTACAGGTTGAGTTTCACGAGCCCACAATGATCTCCATGATGTGGTCCAGTTCATTCAGGTCGGACCTGCAGCTGGAGCTGGAACTCAAGGCTGTGGGCCCATGAGACGACAGGCTCTCCAGCAGATCGTAAGGCCCCATTTTGGGGGTGCCTGTCAGCACCGTGTCCAGGTCGTAGTAGGACGGGTCCACGTCTGAAAACAGCTCCTCTAGGGCGGGGTCTGGAGGAGATGCTGGGTGCTTTATCTCAAAAGTCCCAAAAACCTTCTCGCCTGTCCTGGAGTCTGCATTAAGATGGTCCTGATCTCTTTCCTCTCCGTCTGACAAACACCCCTCACTGTCCTCTTCTTCGTTCTCCTCACAGTCACCCTCCTCCTCCTCCTCATCTTCCTCCTCCCAGCAGGGCCCCACCTCAAAAGGACCAGTCAGATAGGAAGCCGAGGACAGCTGGGGCGAGAGCGGTGACAAAGAGGACATGGTGACCTCCGTCTCCACATCACCTTCCATTACCACCTCCTCTGAGTGGTACCCCTCCTGCAAACCCACCACTGAAAAGGGCTTTGGGCTCTGCCCAGCCTGAGCTGCAGCATCAGTCTGTCTGCATAAAACTTCAGTGGCCACTAGGCGGTCGGCGGGGCACTGGGCAGCTGCCAGGGCTTGGGTCATTATGTGCCAGGTCCCATCCTGGGTCATCTCCTCCTGGATCTGCCGCACCGTGTTAGCGATGAGCACCGAGCGGCACAGGTTGGGCTCCACCAGCATGTGACAGAGCTGAAGCTTGATCAGCGACATGTCGAGCAGCGACTGCCGCTGCAGACTGTAGGACGACGACAGAGTTCTAGCTGCTGCAGAAGGAGCTGCCGGACCCGGGTCGCCACTAGAAGCCGGCTCCTCTCCGGGGTCCGAGAACTTTCGCTTGGTGCCCTTCGTGAACATGATGTCGTTCTGTTGGGATGGTGAGGGAACACAGAGTGAGACAGGCAACAGGATGCGTGGCTGAGCAAAAATGAGCTCATCACAGTCAAAACTTTGAGTTTCTGTGATTAAACTGTACACATGGGCTGAAATGTGGATGAGGTTCATGAGGAAATAAAGAATACAGTCAATTATCTAACTAGCTATAAGTATCTATTTATATGTTTTCCAAAGTTTAAATGAGTGTTGTAGTTTTTATCAGGAGCACCTTTCCTACTCAGAGGAACAGGCAGTGGCAGCTAGGTACCAGCTGCTAGGCTTCACGTTCTTCTGCACCGTTTCTGCCCATTTTAGGCCAGTCTGAGACACGACTCCAGCTGGGTGGAACAACCACACATGACAGAGACCAACTCCTGACAGCAGGCTTCAGTTGTGACTCACTGTAGATAGAGAAGGGCTAGATCTAAAAATGTGAGGGAGAAATTTAAGGCACAAGGAACTAATGCGCCCCCCAGTGGCTGGCTGAAGCATACGTTTCCCTCCATTTAAACAAATGGGACATGACTTAATAAAATACACCCCCCACCCCCCCACCCCAGGTGTTGACTCCTGATTCACAGTTGTTCTTACTTTACTGTCGTTTGTCCAGACGTCTATATTTTTAAGTTTGTTTGAGCTGTAAATAATTATCTGAAGCAGGAAAAACCCACCATGACGATGTGATGGAGGAGCCAGCTCCAAAAACATCTGTTAACGGTTTAGACTTCACTTTGTGAACAAACCTCTAACTTTTAAAGGTTGAATAATTTCACAATTTAAAAAGAAAAAACACGAGTACAGCTACACAGAGAAGATGCACTTGTGTGTGTGTGTGTGTGTGTGTGTGTGTGTGTGTGTGTGTGTGTGTGTGTGTGTGATTTAAGGTTAGATAAATGACAGCAGCATCACTGCAGTAATTGCTTTCTGCACTTTGAAAAAAACTGGGCAGGTTGTAAAACTACTAATGCCATTACTACTGTGTGTTTAAGGGTTTGAGTAAATGTCTCGATAGTTTACCACATAAGGGTATATCACTGCTCTTTGTTGACATTTAGATTTCTAATTTGATTACAGTTAAATTAAGTGATGTTAATTATTAATGACTGTTTTTGTTAGGAAGTCCGCTCATAAAAAACTATTGTTTATTAATTTAATTGTATCAATAAAAAAATAACATTACTATAATTTTCCTTTGGTCACTGTGCGTCCCCTCTGCTTTTAATACATACACTGCATTACCTGTAGGTACCTATAGCAGAGAAATATTAACCATCTATTTATTATGATGCCAATAAATATAAAGTTTTTAATTCAGCCTATTTAATGAATGCTACTCAGAATATTTATTTAGATATAAAAAAGGGATCAGACAGTAACCAAACCTAACGGACCTGTCCAGGAACAAGACCCTAGGACATTTGTGACACATCAGTGTATGGGGTGGCCTGATGGTTGGGGCTGACGAGTTATACCTGTTGGTCTCAATGTAAAGAATAATTGTTTCTGTAACAATTTGTTTTAATCAGCTGTTTGTATAAAGTTTTTGATGTTTTGCATCATAAACCTGTAATACCTGAACAGAATCATGTGATCACTGAGCAACCTGCAGTCACATGGTCTGACATCAACACTCAGATATATTAACTTTGCCATTCCTGTTTATTTAATTATCTGATTAATCATTTTAGCCCCATTTTAGGGTATTTGAGTAGTGTTAGCAACTGCTATCCTTCCAACAGTTTCGGGGTCTAAACACCCAAACTAGTTCAAGGTAAACACAGTGCACTGTAGTAAATATGGATAAATAAAGGCTGGAAGTTTGTGGATCTTTAGTTTCACTTCTGGTTTGTGATTTTAACACAGCCACTGTTTACCTCTGCAACCCGAACCCAAGTCAGTCGTAAAAATACATGGCATGGAAATAACCTGATTGGGTTTTATTTTGGTAACAAAACCATTCAACGCCATTGTAAAATGTACAACAAAATATATTTACAACTAGTTTAAAACCTGGAGAAGAGGACACTTTTCAAAGATTTGGGATCAGGACATTAGTGTAAAAATAAGAGCCTGTTTAAAGTCGCTGTGGAGAGGGAACCATGGCGTTGTTAGAGGGTTAAGTGATTAGAAAGCTGGAGGACCTCAGCACTGGAGCTACAGCTGCCTCGCTTTACGTCAATGTGTTCTGCTGGTACCCATCCCCCACCGCTAACTCAGGCTAGCACTTGCTTAGCTCGCTGTGCTAAACCGATAAATGAACTTTAGGACAGTCTGTTTACTTTATCACATAGTTCCCCGTCTACAGTGTACCATTTGAATCACAGACAATCAAATTAGAGTGCCGTGAGTGGGACTCTGTTGGCCGTCACTGCCGCATGCTTTGTTCGGTACGGTAGTCTACCAAGTGACAATGAGGCCATTTTGCGCCGTGAGCAGCTAGCCGGTTAGCTATGCAACGGGTAGGCTAACAGACTGCGGCTGGCTAACTGTCCTAAAATGTTAAAGGAAACGGAAAAGGATTACCCCACTGGGGTATAAAATTACTGATATACGTCTCGACCACTTTAAAAACGTCTTCCTCGCCAAAACTGTAACAACAAGCATAAAAGTGGTGATCGCAAACCCACCCATCCTCCACGGTCCTTCCTCCTTTCTGGCCAAAAACAAGAGTTTTCGCTGCGCCCGGGCTGTTAAGAGTCGGAAAATTCACAAACGCTCTCCGCGGCGCCTGCCTAAAACACCACTGCCCAGTAGCTAGCTAGCAGCACTCACCTTGTGTTTGCCTTAGTTTATTCCCCTCTTCCCGTCATAAGATTGACGGCAGAGAAAGCGGAGATTTGGTTCAGATGAGATCATTCATGCCACGGCTTCAAAAACTGAAGTACCTCACTCCTTCTACTGCTGCTGCGAGGCGGACGGCAGGAGGGAAGGAAGGGAGTGAGGGGGAGGGGAGCCAGCCGACAAAAGCCAGTTGAGGATTCCTCTCTAATGATTTCTCCCTGCTTTTCTCAAACACTAATGCTTTCGGACAAACACGCTAAAGCTCGTTTTGGGGCTGACGGAAAACAAATACAAGACTTAAGATTTGACTGGGTTTCGACGTTCTGATTGTGAATTATGATCCTGTTATACCTCATTAATAACTACCGATAGATAGATAGATAGATGATAGATAGATAGATAGATAGATAGATAGATAGATAGATAGATAGATAGATAGATAGATAGATAGATAGATAGATAGATAGATAGATAGATAGATAGATAGATAGATAGATAGATAGATAGATAGATAGATAGATAGATAGATATAGACTATTTCATCTGTTAATTAATAATGTCTCTAAATATGTTAATAAAACCATTATGACAACACATTTTCACCATGAGGCACATAGATGTTTTTTTAATTCTTTATTTATAAGAGGACATTGCATACTAACAGTCAAATGACTGTAAATATGCCAGACTATAGCCTTAGGCTAATTTCCATCTGCAGTCCTCTGGCAGGTTGATGTTGCTAAAACAAATAAAACAGTCAACAACATACAAATAGATATAAATCAATAAAATAAAACAAAACAAGATGTGTGTAGGTATACATATGCATTTATAGCTATGCACATAGGCATGTGAAAGGTGCATATGTATTAAAATCAAATAGTCATTTTAGATTACATGTTTTGATCATGTTTCTGGATTTCCTTCATTCGTCTTGTTGACATTACAATTGTTTGAAATAAGAAGCACACACACACACACACACACACACACACACACACACACACACACACACACACACACACACACACTGAGAGTCGATTTAAAAGCTTTCAGGTGTTTTGGATCACCAAAACACCTGAAAAAATTAGCTGACATTTTGAACCTAGAATAGAAAGAACTTTTGCTCAATATTCTAAGTTCTCAGGTAAAATACTAGAGTTTCCTGGCTTAAACGGGATACATGACAGGTGTGTTCAAAGCACTTAGTTTGCATTAATATGTAAAACATATATTAAGGCAGATTTGGTGTGGTGATTATCCAAAAAAGTAACATAGAACACAGCTCAGGCCTTCTTCTCCCATTCTCACACACTCCCCATTTGATTAAACAGCATGTTTTTTGTCTCATTGTTTCTTCACCTCTTGGATTCTAAGCAAACTCCTGCTGACTTTGTTTCTTGCCAAATAAGCAGTCTTCTCTGACTGCAGCTCGGCCTGGGTGATGCTGCAGCAAGAGGATTCATTGTCTGCTGTAATTGCTTTTGTATGGTAGAGGAGCTCACAGCAGCACCGCTGCTCGGTGAGAAGAGTAGGAGAAGAAGTAGTGTGCTTAATGTCAGTCATCAAAAGTTGCAAAATTTGTCCCTAGTTGCGTTTTAAAAAAACGTCTAAAAACTTGCTAAATATAGCAATAGATTCATTTAGTTGGCAACACTGTTCAGGGCTCTGCCCCTTTATGAAAATAAGCTAGAGCTGGCCACTCCCCCTCTTCTACACTCAGGCTGCTATAGGTTTAGAAGCTCAAGTTTCTAGGAGAGCTTGGTGTACAGCAGCTGGTCCTCCAGCAGCTCTCTCTTGAATGTGAGAGGTGGTTCTATTCTTATTTCTTATTCTTATTGGGACAGCAGTAGCTCAGGAGGTAGAGCGGGTTGTCCAGTAATTGGAAGGTTGCAGGTTTGATCCCAGCTCTGACCAGAGAATTCTGTTGTTGTGTCCTTGAGCAAGACACTTAACCCTGCTTGCCTGCAAGATGGTGGTTGGAGGGAGAGTGTTCGGCCAGCTTTGCCTCTGTCAGTGTGTCCCATGTCAGCTGTGGCTACATCGTACCTCATCCTCATCAGTGTGTGTGTGTGTGTGTGTGTGTGTGTGTGTGTGTGTGTGTGTGTGTGTGTGTGTGTGTGTGTGTGTGTGTGTGTGTGTGTGTGTGTGTGTGTGTGTGTGTGTGTGTGAATGACTGATTGTGATGTGAAGTGCCTTGGGGGGTTGTAGAACCCTGAGAAGGTGCTATACAGATACAGGTTGTTTACCTTTTATTTTCTTGTTTGCAACACAGCACCACTGGTGTGAGAGGTTCTCCACTCAATAATATCAGAGAAGGAGAAACAGCCGGCTGCTACCACTTCAACTTTAGAACAAACTACCAGAGGACCCCCCCCCCCACACACACACACACACACACACACACACACAAAAAACAGTTTGAAGTTACAAGGCAACAGAAGCGGTTTTGATCAAGTAAGTAACAACTGGTGTTTAGCGCTCTCTTGTTTCCTCTGGTTTCCTGTTCTGGTGGATGGGGATCCAGGTAAGACACCCAAGGGGAGGGGTGCATGTTAAGTGACTGTGTTTGTAAAACAATAATCTTGATTTAGTTGTAGGAATTAATAATCAGCTAGTTAAAGATCCAAATGTCCCGATGAACCAGTTAAACCTCTACTGTAAAAAAAATCAGTCAAGTATTTATCAAGCTGCTTTGCTTATCGTGTGTGCCACAAAGGTCAAGTAGATCTTGAGGAAAGCTATAAACATTCAAACCTTACAAAAAAACAAACATTGTTCAAGTGAAGTTACTGATGTAATTGATCAAGGCAAAAGATATCTCTAATCTTAACACTTGTTTCCTGGGACAAAGAGGCGTGCTTCCAGTTTAAACATCTAATTAATCTCTCTATTTAAATAATTCTGTTTAACACAAGCCTGGAAAATGTGACACATAGTTTCTAAATCAGGGAAAAGGACAGACATAAACAAATATGCAGCAGTTAGCATCTCACTGTTATTGAAGTGAATATGTAAAAACTTAATGGAACATTTAAAAAAATAATTGACCTAAAACAGTTTGGATTTTAGCCCTATCACGCCACAGAATTGGCACTAGTTATGCTAGAAAATAAATTTGGATAAAATGCATACAGGCATGGTATTTCTGCTTTTCATGCAGTAGACAACATGCTATTTTCATCTAAATTACCCAGACCTAATTTCTCTGATCTATTAAATGAACTGTGTCCTATTTGACTGACAGTTCTCCATTTAAATGTTAAGAAACGGGGGTACCCCAAGGGTCCAGTACAATGCTGCTCTTCTTGAGTCCATACAAAGTGATGTGCAGATAACAGTCATTCTCACCAAAGGTAAAAATCCCGAAGAAGCAGTTTTCAGGCTTTCCTGTCCTCTGACACACACACAGAACTGGCAGAACAACTCCAGTCTTTTCTTGAATGCCATAAACACTGTTTTTCTCCAAAAACACATAAACACTCAGTGTCAGCCAATCAAAGGCGAGGTCGTCCTCCCCCAAAATAAGACTCCAAATCCTGCCTGCTGGACTTTCTCCTCTGGCTGAGTTCTCCATGCTGAAACAGGCTCACCGGAGCTGCTTTTCTCCAGAGAACTACTTTTACAAGGCATTCATTCCTGCTAGAGACCACTGCAGATGTATGATGTATGAGTGATGGAAGATAACAACTTATAGAACAAGGTCTCAATGAGCATTAAGTCCCGTCACTACTCGTGTCCATGTGTAACTTGTGCAATTAAGTTGCCTTTAATTATGTTTAAGATGTGCAAAAGACATCCTTTGCAGTCATGTTTAATTTGCAACTTAATTATGATCAACATGTGCATTTTGAATTGCCATTTTGTTTCTATTAATTTGTGTTTTGTGTGTGTGTGTTTGGTCAATGTATTGTGCGTACACTTGGACCTGAACACCAACCGGCTGAGCCAAGGGGACATGGAAATAAGCCTTGGGTTAACATATGACATATTTATGAATACAAAACATTTTTCCTGAATGTTGCAGCTGGAATCAAGACGAATCTGGCTATAAAACGTTCCGATTGTGTTATGTTGTCCAGTTCTGGGGATTATGCAACTTCAGTTTCTTGATCTGAATTGAGATGAGTCCCACCATAAAAGAGAGGACACTGAGTGTTGGTGTAAAATTTATAAAACGTACTTTTACAATGCCACTAATTACAACGTTTTAATATAAATTCTCTACTAACAAAGATAATCATTTCAAAACGTATCATTTAATAGAAATCTTGCGCAACTTTCTGACGCGGAACACTTCTTTAAGGACCTATCTTCCGGTTTCTAAACACAGTTCCGTTTCCAGCACATTCTACGGTAGGACTATAGACGCAGGAGCACCGCTGGTAGCTGCTAGCTAGAGTCTTCTAGAAGCAGCATCGTGCTGTGGACATCCACCGGCAGACTGATTGACCTGTAAGCGTTTAGCGTTAAACGAGTTTTAATATTTATCTCTCGAAATGGCCAAGTGGGGAGAAGGAGACCCTCGTTGGATTGTAGAGGAGAGAGCAGATGCTACTAATGTTAACAACTGGCACTGGTAAGAAATATAAAAACAAGGTTACCAAGTTAGCTAGCTCATACTAAAAGCACGTTTTGGGCTCGTTTTATTACCACACTGTAAATTATTATTATGTTTATTGTTGACATGTGAATTTTGGAATTATATTATAAATTTGGGTTTCAGTAACAGGAAAACTACTGCTTTAGCGTTAGATTCACGTGTAGCATCCTGGGCTAAGCGCGTGTTTTCGTTGTTAAAACATGAAATAAAATAGGATGTAACTCGTGTTTATAAGGAGATATTTAGCAGTTAGGAGTCCACAATTCTTCAGTATCTGCTGGCGGATGATGTGGTAACCCAAAATCACTACGTGATCATGATTTATATTGTACTTCATTTACAGCCATTAATGAATTATTGAAAAAGCACTGCGACATTGAGAAATTACACTTACCCATGTAAAAACGTGCTGATGATGAAAGTTCAATCAGACTATATTAATACTTTACATATTTTATTTAGTAATTAAAATAAAATACGTTGTTTGACTTCATGCACCCTTGTTCAATAAATCAAACAAAGCCACAGCTTTTATATTTTTAAGTGATTTTAGTGACCCAGACGTTTGTTGTACCCGTTTACCCAGGTAGATGAAGAACAAAGGACTTTTAATAAAGGACAGCTTAAGATAAAAATCAAAAGGCGCTTCACTAGAATGATAAACAATAAAGATCATAACAAATAAAAATATGAGAAAAAACTTGATAATTAAAAAATGAGAAAATTCCAGAACTGAAACACCAGGTGTTGCAACTATGATGTAGAAATGGAAAATAGCTTGTCTCTGTGTTTAGTTATAGCCTAGCAGACACTTGCAGTTTTTTATTTGTGACACATTTCCTTTATTTCGTTTGACAAATAATTTTGATGCTGAGTTTTATCCAATGCAGAGACCGAGTTGTCATTCCAATGGATGCTAAAGCTTGTGCAGGACAAACAGGATTTAATGTTGCGTATTGTTTCTTTACTGTGCTGTTTACCTGCTTTTAATTTAACCTAAATTCTGTTTTTATTGTTTTAAATTATCAGGACTGAAAGAGATGCAACAGCTTGGTCCTCTGATAAGCTGAAATCTTTGCTTCTTGGGTTGAGCGTGGAGAACGAGGAGGGCAGCTGTGAAGTGACAGAAGTCAGCAAGCTGGAGGGAGAGGCCTCTATTAACAACCGCAAAGGGAAACTCATTTTCTTTTATGAATGGAACATGAAAGCTACTTGGACTGGTGGGTTGGAAATTTGGCTACCTGTTTTTTCATTTGAGGAAATTTGGTATAATTTACTCTGCAGCTGCTCTTGTGGCAGAAATACTCCTAAATTTTAACCTGCTAACTACATGGCTTTAAATCCACTTAGAAAAGTTAAGCATCCATATTTAGTCCGACATTGGTTACCTCTGTATTCATGGGTTTGTATTAACTTTAGTTCTAATATGCATTGATGAGAAGTAGGGCTGCAGCTATCGAATATTTTTGTAATCGAGTACTCTATCGAATATTTTTTTCGATTAATCGAGTACTCTAATAAATTACCCTTTTGTATTTGTAAACCATTATATCAAATAGCATGTTATAATTATGAAAGACCTGTTAAAATGAGCAAGCAATTGCCAGTTACTCTTCAAGTTTTATTCAAAATTAGTTTGCAAAACTTCGGCACTTACACTTTACTTCACAGTAAACAAATGGCTGTGCAAAAAATAAGTACACAACCTGAGCCGATTTTCCCCTCGTGCGAGAATCTGCTAGCCTGCAAGCCAGACAGAAACTAGGAGGATAACTGTTGGAAGTAGCGCTGCGAGCGGCTGCGGCCCAAACAGAACCAGAACCGCTCACGGTGCATGCGCAAACAGCTCGCCGGCTGTTCCCTATTAACACACGTCCGTTTTAATTTCAACACTTTTTTTCTCACACAATAACAAGGATTGTCGAGAAAGCATGTTTGCCGTGGTTTTGTCAAATTATACAGATCACACAACATTTATTTACTTTCTTTCGTTTTCCTCTCATAAATACCCGTGTCCTCCTGCAGCAATCCCGAGGGACAACAAATATCAATAACAACACAATAAAAAGTCTGACGTGTTGTGTAAAAACTGCTATTTTAAGCACATTTTAAGTCCGACGTGTTGCTACCAGACGTACGGTGTGAGCTGAAACTGAGTGCTACAAACGAAAAAGTCGCACAGTGTCCGCAGAATATATAGAAAAACAGGCTAAAAAGCATTAGCTTGTAGAGGCTCCGAGTCCGCATGCAGAAGTGACATTTACAGGTGCTGCAGCACGGAGGATGTGGTGTTGTGCTAGGCTTAATCCATTTTACAGTATTTATACTGGACTACATTTTCCGCCTAACGACGTGAAAAATGGTCCCACATCTTGACATTTTCTGTCCTTTTTGCACTCCACCGGGGTCCACGTTGTCCGCCATGGCTTAAGAGAAAGTTAAGTTACATTCGCTACTCTCGTGTGCAGTCCAGTGGGCATGTGCGTCACTTATTTCAGTCCGGGTGAAACATGACCACGGGCGACTGCAAAGCCACGAATTAATTAAATATGAATTAAACGAATCCTCGAGGCAGAGAATTTGACTCGAGGATTTTTTGTACTCGAATTATTCGAGGTACTCGAGGAATCGTTTCAGCCCTAATGAGAAGATCATGAGGAGGCTCACATGTACACTGATATGTGAAAAAGATGTTTTTTATGGTGGGTTAAGCAGCACATTTCCACTTGTGTTCTGACATGGTTGACCTCACAAGCCCAATTCTTTTTCAGTGAATGACTTTCTGATTTTCCCTTTGCTTACCAGGAAAATCAAAAGCAGGAATCAAATATAATGGATCGATCGAAGTTCCAAACTTGTCTGATGAAAACGACACGGAGGATCTTGATGTAAGTCGTAATTAACAGTTCTGTAAATGCATCTGTAACTTTCGTGCTAACTTCTGTTTTTGTTTTCCAGATTTCTATAATGTTGAACAAAGATGAACCAGACACACCGCTGGTTCACCTAATGAAGACTAGGGGGGCAGAGAAAATCCGTGAAGCGCTGGGAAGTTACATAGAGCTTTTGAAAACGGGTCAGTAATTGTTTACAAGATTTTGCCAACTTTTTCTTCTTTGTGATTCTCTGCATCAGTTAATGATGACTTTAGCTCTGGTTTTATGCTCGGCAAAGCTAAGAATGTAGTAACGAGTTACTCTGGAAGTGGTGGGTGAGGGATGATGGTAGAAATAAGAAAAATGGTGCAGGTTTATATTTGATATGTGTCTAAAAAACATGTAACTAAACTGGCTGGTTAACAGCCCATCCACCTGCCGTCGGTGTCCAAGTCCCTCCTCACTCAGGACCCACCGGCTGTCATCATTGGTTCTGATGTTAACTGTGTACTCTGACTTTCAACTTTAGGAAGTAAAGTCCTGTCAGGAAAACCAGTGTTAGACTCAAATAGGAATGTTTCAATAAACCTGTGAATTTATACCTGCTGTAGTTTTGGTCGGGTCAGAACCACCGGAGACTGAGATGTCTCATAAATCACGTCAGTAAAAAGTTTCCTATATAAGGAACTCAGCAGGTTGCATCAAGTCACTGACTAGTGTCAGTCTTTACAGCAATCCTCATACTAAGCAAGCATTTAGCGACAGTGGGGAGGAAAACTCCCTTTTACCTCATTCGCTGCCAGTCGTTTCCTGATCAGAAAAGCCCCTTTTTGCCAGCGTTTTTCAGTGTTTTCACTGTTTTTTGAAGAGTCACAGAGCGTTTCACTCTGATGTCAATGCCAAAACAACCAAAACAAAGGGGAGACTCACCTCTTACATCAGGAAGAATTTGTGTGTTTTAAGCGTTATCCGTTCTTTCATAATCCGTTGTCGAATTGTGATCGGCAGAAGCTTTTCCTGTTCATGCCTCACTTTTTTCACAGCAGCGGCCCAAAACGATCTAACACATGGATTTTCTGCTTTCTGATCATGTGACGTGTAGGGTTGGGCATCGATTGGAACCGGGACCAACTGTTAGTTTTTCCTGGAATCGTTAAAAGTTTTTTATTTCGATTCCTAGTTTTGATTCCTTGTATGCCAGCCGGAAGAGGAATCCGCGGCAGATCTCCGTGAAATATAAATGTAATCTGCAAATTGTGATCAAGCTTTTCAGAGCTGATCACACCATCTGACTGTTCAGCACCGAGTCCCCCCTCCCCCCACCCGGGGCGCAGCGGCCAGATATAAACAAACATGTCTGCTGAACTTTTACTCCGTAATGTAAACTTTACCTCCTGCAGCGTAGAGGAAACTTGTTAAAATACGTCAACACGGTGGATTTAATAGAAGCTCTAAAGAACCAACTCTGGACGGTGTGAGGTGAGTTTGTCTCACTGCAGAAATAAAAACACACACGGAGCGTCAGCAGCCAGGCGCAGCCAATCGCCAACACGTGTGTGTGTGTGTGTGTGTGTGTGTTAGGGCTGTCGCGGTTGAGGAATTCCCCCTGCGGTGATTCAGGGTGGCTTAATATTGCGGTGTGCGATATTATTGCAGCCCTTTTTTTATTGCAGTACTATCTAAACATAATGTTTACACATTTAAAAAAGGTTAAAAATTGCCATGCCTTCTTTAATAACACTTTACTGAATGCAGATCAAAGGGCAGTAACAACACAGATCGCAGTAACGTTTGTTTCTCCGACAGTCGGAGTCCGATTGAACTTAAAAACAACAAAATTCAGGAGAAGGTTAAACTTTTAAATGCAAATTTGGCTGCAGCATCTAACAAATAAGAAACAAGTCCCCATTTTGTTTAGTTGTTTAAAATCAAGCATAAAAAATTACATGTACCGGGGGGCGGGCGCACTATCATTTCACTTTCACACACACGAATGACGGTGCTTTATAGCTCGGTCACGTCCTTGTTACCCACAAGGAAAACCAGCATGTTAACCATATACGGTTTGAGAGAGGATCTGTGAGAGGGGTGGCAACATTTCCAGCAACACTGAAAACCCTCTCGGATGGTGCGCTCGTTGCACTAACGCACACGTACTTGCGTACGACTGGCGAGCAAAGGGAATCTCTCCCGGTTGTTGCTCCACCATGTCGGGGGGGGGGGGTTCTTTAGGGTGGATGCGTTCCTCCTGCAGGTAGCGAGTGAGCTCCAGCTCGGCTCAAACTCTCTTCAGGACGGTTGCAGAAGCAGTGCTTGTCCGGGACTTCAGCAGGTCTCCGAGCGTTTATTCATTTATTTATTTTTGCCGCTGGTGGCAGCTCTGTCTCGGCCAAGGACTCTGGCTGCGCAGCAGCTGACGTACTGAAAACCAAAGTGCTCCCAAAGGAGCGAAGTAACGTTTCGTTTTGATACCACTGCAGCCATCCTTCTCAACATGCATCATTGAGTTGAATCAAGTTCAGTAATCGCGGTGGCCCATGATGCAGCGCGGTGGGCTTCTTCATATTGTGATATTTCATTTTTGCGGTTACCGCGACAGCCCCTGTGTGTGTGTGCGTGTGCGTGTGTGAGCGTCAGAAGGCTGAACAATAACCTGTAGAATAATTAAAGTCGTCATGCTAGAGCAGCTTCTCTGTGGTGCACCACACCAGCTTCTGCCACAATAAATAATAATAATAATAAATCACACACAAAGTTGTGAACATTTTAATTTCCTTTCTGAACTATTTCTGTTGAGTTTTAATGTTTAAAACTGTTAGATTGTTACTGACAGCAGCTACATTTAAGTTTCTGTTCTGACTGAATGCTGCTGCAGCATGGAGGTGTAGCTCTCAGTCGTCCTGGACATGATCATCCTGAGAGTTTTAGCTGAAAACAGCTGCATGTTTCTGGATATGTTGGAGACATTTAGCCTCTCATCCCAGAGGCTTCTTCCAGACTTTGGTTGTGGTCAGAAACAAACACACTGGTTGTGCTGCAAGTCTTTTTCTTTTTTTCTCCAAAACATGTTTCTGTCTGAAGGTGATGTTATTGTTCATAGAGTTAAAATTCATGTTGAAGTTAAGATTATTTCATCAAGTAGGACCTGTGGTTAGCTGGCTCGTGTAAAACATGTCATGTCTTGAAAGAATCGGAATTGGGAATCGATAGGAATCGGAATCGAAACAAGGATCAGAGATAGAATCGGAATCATTCAAAATCCCGCGATGCCCAACCCTAGCAACGTGTGACGTACGTGGATGAAGATCGGCTTTAGAGCTGGGATGTTTGTTCACGCGGTGTGGGGGCTCGTTCCGATGCCCACACATTAACATTTTGTTGATGAGTTAACAGGAAGAAACCTCCAGAGGTTCCTGGCTCAGTACGAGTAGCCATCCATCAGTCTGTTACCATGGTGATCTTCAACATCATAACTTTATACTTAGCAGTCAGCTAACGGATGTGGTTTCATGTTCCAGCCCTCTGGTTTGGTTGGACGGTCTCTAATCCATGAATTCCCAATTCTGCTTTATTCCTTTGGATTACTTAGGAATGAAACTTCGGGGTCAGAATTTTTACCAGAGTGTTTTAGACCAGCTCCTAAATTAGATGTTTGGTTGTTTTATTCTAACTCCAGAGTTCACTCAAGGGATGATCCTGCCTACATCCAACGGTGTGGCCAAACTGGAGACCGCGTCACAGTCCAAAGCCAAGTTTGATAAAACTCAGGTCAGTGGTCACTTTGCACTTCTAGTAGGGTTGTGTATTTTTAAAACTAAAGCTTTTACTAATCATTTTTCTTTTTTAAAGCGGTTTTATGACTAGATTATCAAATCTTTTTATTGTTGTCCAGTTTCAGTCCTCAAGCGGAACAGCAGCTCCCATCCACACAGGTGTGAAGATCCCCACCTGTAAAATCTCCCTGAAAGACACGTTTCTCACCTCGCCGGCTGACCTCTACAGGGTCTTTCTCAACCAGGAGGTCAGACTTGCATCATTTAGTTACTCATTTGGTCCACTGGTTATCTACAGAGCCCCACTCAGAACAATAACCATTATGTTTAATGCCACTTCACCGACATTATGTTGGTGTTTGTTGCTTTTGAAACGCAGATGGTTCAGGCGTTCACGCGCAGTGCCGCCACCGTAGAGGGAGAGAAGGGTGGGAAGTTTCGTTTGCTAGAAGGAAACGTTTTTGGAGAATTCACAGAGCTGGTGAGTCAGAGACTGAATCGTCTCTGTGTGATTCTGGTAGACAGTTGCACACTCCAGACTAACAAAACCCTACTGCAACCAGGTTCCTGATGAGAAAATAGTAATGAAGTGGAGGTTTAACAACTGGCCCTGCGGTAGGTTCTGGTTCTGACCTGAATACAGCAATATTTCTGTTGATACATTAACTTACTCCAATCTCCTCAAGTCTTTTGTTTGAGCTAATTTGTTGCTTCTGCACCACAGAGCATTATGCAACAATCACTCTGACGTTCCTGGACCGGAGCACTGAGACTGAGCTGAAGGTGGAGTGTCGAGGCGTTCCGAACAGCGAAGAAGATCAGACTAAAGATGGCTGGAAGAGATACTACTTTGAAGCCATAAAACAGACCTTTGGCTATGGAGCACGACTCTTCTGAAGACCCTGTGCTGTTCATTTGTTTTTATATCTGTTCATCCTCTGGCACAGAGTATCTGGTCGTTCCCTCGTAGGACGAGCTAAAGCCAGACAGGCTGAGGCGGGCAGGGTGGTGTATGTGTAAACATTTTAATTTCTGAATATATTTAAATCACCTTCATTGTTTTTTGTTATGTGGTTCAGCTGTTCAGAGGAGCGGGGCGACCTGTGCCTTTGGTGAGCTGGTTAAAACCAGAGCAGAAGAATCAATTAACCATTAAAATTGGCATAGACTTCTGTAACATGTAATTATTGCAAGGATCAAAACTTAAAGTTATTTGTTTTGTGTAAAAACACTGCTTTAAATGAATGTTTTAGTATTTCTGTTACTCATCGGTGTAACTGTAGTGGAGGTGCTTTCAGCTCGGATGCATGTGACCCGAACCCACCCTTCAGCTGAAGCTGAGTCTTTCTTACAGATGTTAATCTGAAGAGCGCTTTATACGGCTAGTTCATTTAGAAAACGTTTGCTCCTGTAAAATGCTCTGAGATCATAACGCATCTATTTATTCCTCATTTCATCCTGTCAGGAGTTCAGATGAATTAGTCTCTTGGAATAAAAAAAATAAATCTGTCAAATCTGGATTTATTATCAAACTTCATCTTACATGAGTGGATCTATAATCGTGTTTTTAGTTGTTTACTAGCTTTAAAACAAAAGGGCACTCATTTCAGCATAATCTCACCAAACTCATTAGTGTGGTTGGGAGTTGGATGCCACACACAGTCCAAAAAAATAAAGTGTTGAAAAAGTGCATTTATAACAACTCAGTCAATATTATCACAAACATGCTCTGCTAATGTCACACAGCCTTTATCTCAGATGATCCATTAGAATAAAACTATGGCTTTTGAATATTTAGCTGGTAAAAGGCTTTATTGGTGAGTTTTTTTTTCTGATTGAATTTTCAAATAAAAACATTTCTCATGCCATCTAGATGAAGAAATGGGTCAAAACCAAGAACGATAATTGGCCAGTAGGGGGCAGTGTTCATTTTGGCAGGTTTTGTTTAGTTTGGGTTTATTGTACAAGGACAGAACAATAGACTAAAGTATAAGGGCAATGTAACCATTGTTTTCTACAGAGGAGTTATAGTCAGTGGTTAATTTGGAAACCCAGTCCTTGGTAGGACTAGAATAACAGCATTTTTAACACTTATCACCACAAATATTGTAATTTATTAAAATGGGAAAAACTAAACATTAAGATGAGAATCCAAAATAACACCCATATATTTAAACTCCTCCACTTGCTGGCCTTTTGTTAGCCCTAAGCCTGTGTGTTGGGGTTTACCGCGTGGGACGAGAGGGTAGCTTCCCTGTGCCTTTGGGTCGGGGAACGGGTCCTGACTTGTTTGTGCTTATGGGCCAAATATCAGTTCAGAGTACCCACCCTTTTTGGAGTCCCTGGGACGAGTGCTAGATAGTGCTCCATCAGGGGACTCCATTGTCCTGCTGGGGGACTTCAATGCTCACGTGGGCAATGACAGCTTGACCTGGAGGGGTGTGATTGGGAGGAACGGCCCGCCTGATCTGAACTCGAGTGGTGTTTCGTTATTGGACTTCTGTGCAAGCCGCAGTGTGGCCATAACGAACACCATGTTCGAACATGAGGATGCCCATCGGTACACTTGGTACCAGGGCAGCCTAGGTCGCAGGTCGATGATAGACTTTGTAGTCGTATCATCCGACCTGCGGCCGTATGTTTTGGACACCCGAGTGAAGAGAGGAGCGGAGCTGTCAACTGATTACCACCTGGTGGTGAGTTGGATCCGATGGCAGGGTAAGATGCCGCGTAGACCTGGCAGACCCAAACGCATAGTGAGGGTCTGCTGGGAACGCCTGGCAGAAGAACCTGTCAAGACGGTCTTCAACTCCCACCTCCGGCAGAGCTTTGACCGTGTCCCGAGAGCAGTGGGGGACATCGAGTCCGAGTGGGCCTTGTTCCACTCTGCGATTGTTGAGGCGGCTGTTGCTAGCTGTGGTCGCAAGGTGGCCGGTGTCAGTCGTGGTGGCAACCCCTGTACCCGCTGGTGGACACCAGAGGTTCGGGGAGCCGTCAGGCTGAAGAAGGAGGCCTACAGGGCGTGGCTGGTCTGTGGGTCTCCGGAGGCAAGAGACAGGTACCGGATAGCCAAGTGGGGTGCAGCAGTGGCAGTTGCCGAGGCAAAATCTTGGGGGTGGGAGGAGTTTGGTGAGGCCATGGAGAAAGACTATCGATCGGCTCCAAAGAGGTTCTGGCAAACTGTCCGACGCCTCAGGAGAGGAAGGCAGCAACTCGCTCACACTGTTTACAGTGGGGATGGGGAGCTGCTGACGTCAACTGGGGCTATAGTCGGACGGTGGAAGGAATACTTTGAGGAGCTCCTCAATCCCACCTACGCGCATTCCGAGGAGGAACCAGAGCTGGGAGACCTGGGGGTGGACTGTCCAATCTCGGGGGCAGAAGTTGCTGAGGTAGTCAAACAACTACACAGCGGTGGAGCCCCGGGGGAAGATGAGATTTGTCCTGGGTATCTCAAGGCTTGGATGTTGTAGGGCTGCCGTAGTTGACACGTCTCTGCAACATTGCTTGGTCATTGGGGGCAGTTCCTGTGGAGTGGCAGACCAGGGTGGTGGTTCCCATCTTTAAGAAGGGTGACCTGAGGGTGTGTTCCAACTATAGGGGGATCACACTCCTCAGCCTCCCTGGAAAGGTCTACTCCAAGGTACTGGAGAGGAGGGTCCGATCGATAGTTGAATCTCAGATTGAGGAGGAGCAATGTGGTTTTCGTCCTGGCCGTGGAACTGTGGACCAGCTCTATACACTTGCAAGGGTGATGGAGGGGGCATGGGAGTTTGCCCAACCAATCCACATGTGTTTTGTGGATTTGGAGAAGGCTTATGACTGTGTCCCCAGGGGCACCCTGTGGGGGACGCTCCAGGAGTATGGGGTGGGTGGCTTTCTGTTAAGGGCCATTCAGTCCCTTTACCAGAGGAGCGTGAGTTTGGTCCGCATAGCCGGTAGTAAGTTGGAACTGTTCCCGGTGAGGGTTGGACTCCGCCAGGGCTGCCCTTTGTCACCGGTTCTGTTCATTACCTTTATGGACAGAATTTCTAGGTGCAGCCGTGGTGTGGAGTGTGTCGAGTTTGGTGGCAGGAGAATCTCGTCTCTGCTTTTTGCGGATGATGTGGTCCTCCTAGCTTCGTCCAGCTCTGACCTTCAGCTCTTGCTGGGTAGGTTCATGGCCAAGTGTGAAGCGGCTGGGATGAGGATCAGCACCTCCAAATCTGAGACCATGGTTCTCGACCGGAAAAGGGTGGCTTGCCAACTCTGGGTCGGGGGAGAGGTCCTACCTCAAGTGGAGGAGTTTAAGTATCTCGGGGTCTTGTTCACGAGTGAGGGTAGGAGGGATCGGGAGATCGACAGGCGGATTGGTTCAGCGTCTGCAGTGATGCGGACGCTGAGCTGATCTGTCGTGGTGAAGAGGGAGCTGAGCCAGAAAGCCAGGCTCTCGATTTACCGGTCGATCTATGTCCCAATCCTCACCTATGGTCATGAGCTTTGGGTAATGACCGAAAGAACAAGATTGCGCATACAAGTGGCCGAAATGAGTTTCCTCCGTAGGGTGGCTGGGCTCAGCCTTAGAGATAGGGTGAGGAGCTCGGACATTCGGGAGGGACTCGGAGTAGAACCGCTGCTCCTCTGGATCGAAAGGAGTCAGTTGAGGTGGTTTGGGCATCTGGCCAGGATGCCTCCTGGATGCCTCCCTGGGGAGGTGTTTCGGGCATGTCCTGCTGGCAGGAGGCCCCCGGGTCGACCCAGGACACGTTGAAGAGGTAACATCTCTAATCTGGTCCGGGAACGTCTTGGGGTCCTGCCGGAGAAGCTGGTGGAGGTGGCCGGTGAGAGGACGGTCTGGAGCTTCCTAGTTGGGATGCTGCCCCCGCGACCCGGACCCGGATAATCGGAGGAAGACGACGACGACCACTTGCTGGATTTCTGTCGGTGAAGACAGTGAAGTTGTCATTTGTGTGAAGCATAGAAGTAAACAAAGACTGGAACTAATGGGAAATAAAAGCCAACTACATCTCAATCTTCCACTCAAACTGAGTTGAAAATACAAAACACCTGTAAAAGACTATGAATCATGCATATATCTAGTCCATTATTGTCGTTGAAGTTGTCTTCCTACACTTATCCAGGTCCGGGTTGCGGGGGCAGCACCCAACTAGGGAGCTCCAGACATCCTCTCCCCGGCCACCTCCACCAGCTCCTCCAGCAGGACCCCAAGGCGTTCCCGGACCAGATTGGAGATGTAACCTCTCCAACGTGTCCTGGGTCAACCCGGGGGCCTCCTGCCGGCAGGACATACCCGAAACACCTCCCCAGGGATCGAAAGGACAGTTGAGGTGGTTTGGGCATCTGATCAGGATGCCTCTAGTCAATTATGATTTTTATTATTATGGATGAAACTCTGCTGTTAAAGCTTCTCTAGCAAAACCAGACTCAGACAGTCTGACTCAAACCCAACAGCTGCACTGATATTTAGGCCCGAGCAGCGAAGATGCGAAGGCCTTTTGTAATTGCTCGGTTTATTTTTCCGCTTATTCTATAGACAAAAGGAGGGCCTTTTTGGAGCCTTTACCCCGGGGTGGTTCTAGACCAAATTTTCCAGGGGGGTGCAGTGGGGCCAGTATTTTTTCATGGGGTCACAAGAAAAAATAAGGGGGGAAATTAGGACAACATCAAAATTGTTTTTTGCGCATGTGCACAATTTCGCCAAAGGAAATTCCTAGTACTGTGAAACTACTCACTTTTTTGTTCTCTTCTTTTTCATATTTTTACTATATTTTGGTGATCAAATTTATCAAAAAATTTCCTTTACTTTTTCATCTATGATCTTTTACAGCTGTATTTTACTAAAATAAGATTCAAATAAATTCATAATAAAAGACAATGAACACATAAACCATTACAGCGAATGCAGTAATGGTTTATTTGTGAAAGTAAAACTGGCATGTTTTTATGGTACTCAGATAACAATTCTGAATGCTTCACTGCAACATGGGACTTGGGTTAAAAATAAATCTAGTTGATTATTATAGTTTGTGACTTTATTTGAAGATTACTTGTACTGTACATGTGAAAAATAAACAATCAAACAAAATATGTGTACAATACAATTTCTTAGTGCAGTGTTTTTTGTAGTCAACACACACACACACACTGGATGTCAGTCTACATTTAACAGCTGGATCATGATTTGCAACCGTTTCAAGAATTTCCCTGAAGTTGCCTTTGTTATTTGATTCCTCAGGCTCATTGTGTCCTCTCTGTGCTATGTTTTGCCAGGCTGTAAGCAAAATCACTTCAACTGTTTTAATATACTAACAATTTTCTTTAACCTTTTTACTGTGTTCCTTGTCGAGTATATTAACCAACGTTGTACTAGACCTCTGGTAGTCCCTCCACGCTATCATTGAACCCGTAATGCCTTTCAGACTTTGCGTGTACTGAAAATCTCCCTCCCTTTTCAGTTGCTTTTTTCCAGTTCCTAAATCCACGTGGTGAATCAAACACACTTCCTGCGCTACTTGGTGGGCTAAAATGTCTGCATGCATGACAATAAGTAGAGTCCATAGAAACAGAATATTCAATCCAAGGATGACTTCCACACCAGCTTGGCTGAAAGCTGCGTTTTCTGTCTCCTATTAATGTCACTGGAAATGTCCTCAAATGAGGCTGAGTAGGTGGTTCATCGCTTGCTGATATCTGAAAGAAAATAAATGTTAACATGAGGATAAAAGTCATAATTAGTTGATTGAGTCTTATTTTATCTATTTATTAAATATAAACAACAGAAATTTTGGTACCGAGTCAGCATGCCTCACACAATATGAGCTGCAGTCACAGAGAGTTTGTTCAACACCCACAAATCTGACTGTAGAGTACACAGTGCACATGACAGGTGGTCATGTGCAATATGGTAAAGGCTTTACTATATTCAAAAAGTCACCAAATTTTGGCTATCTGTAGGTTCTGCATGAAATTTTTGTTTTTTATGTCCCCCACAAAAATTGCCCAAAAACGGCTAGACAGCGCCCCCTTGAAGCGGATAAAACACCCTCCTAATGTGCCCTTTTTAATAGTAGAAAGATGAAATTTGGAAAACTTGTAGAACTCCCCTAGATGCACAGAAAGGTCTCTTGCAGCCATGGTCAACAACAAACAGGAAGTAAGCCATTTTGGATTGAAGTAGGAATTTTGACCCCGTTTTGGTCGTTTGTAGGGTCTGTATATGATTGAACAGTTTGGTCATTTTTTGCACGATTGTCTCAAAGTGTATGTGCGATCCGAAGGGAAGGGGGATTCAATTGAGAAAATAAAATTGACTTTTCGTAAATACTGAAGGGGCGGGGCCAGGCCTCGAAGTTTGATCACTCACCCAAAACATTTAAATGGCTATAATTTCATAAATTAAAGAGTTACAGTTACAACATTTTCTATGGACATTCCTCATCGGCCCCCAAAGACAAATGCATGGTCGGTTGATGATGTCACACAAGCCCTGCCCCCTCAGGACCAAAAAGGTCAAGTTTAACTGTGAAATTTCCCATAATTTGCCATTTCATATAATTACCACAAACTTGTAGCAGGTAACTGAAGACAAGTTGGGGTTGGTTGAAGTCACTTTACGGGAGCTTTCAAAAGACAGTGGGGCTGCAATGGCACAGCGAAGTCAGAGGTAACGCCATGGCCATATGTTTGCCTCCCATTTTGCCAATTCTAAAGCTATCGCCACGAAAATTATGGTGAGTGATCCTAGTACAATCTGCAATAAAATTTGACATCAAAAGTTGGTGGGCGTGGCCAATTCTTTGAAAGAGTGCCCCCAGCACCATTAAAAGTGCCAGACCCAAGCCATGCTTTGACTGAGGATTGTGAAATTTTGTACACTTATGTAATGTCTTAGGACCTACAAAAAATTCTTGGAACCATGCTCCATATCCCACAGGAAGTCAGCCATTTTGGTCCAAGTACGCCATTTTGTGTTTTTTGCACACTTGAAAGGTACGTCAGTGCCCAAGCGCCCTTTACCCCCATCACCTTTAAACTTCTGCTAAATAATCTTAAGACAAAGCAGGAAAAACTGAACCTACAGATTTTCCAAAAGTCTAACGGTGTGGGCGAGGCTAGGCCTCAAATTTTGACCTGTAACCACACCATGCTTTACTGTCAAAGCTCCCAAATTGACTCCTTTAGCCTCACCAAAATGAATCTCTGGCAAATAGCAGTAGACGTGTCGGGGTCCTTTGGTGTTCAGTACTGGCAGGTTTCAAAAAAGGGCAAGACTTTGAGGATGTGGCGAATTTTGACATCACACCATGAAATTACGTTTACCTCTCATTTCCTCAATTCTGATGTTATCGGTACAACAATTCAGGTGATTGATACAAATCCAAACCTCAATAGATTTTAACCTGACAATCTGGTGGGCGTGGCACAGTTTTTGCACTAGCACCCCTAGGTCCATTACAAATGTCATCCCCAAGTCATGCTTTGACTAAGGATTGTGAAATTTTGTACACTTATGAAGTGTCTTAGGACCTACAAAAAACTCTCTTGGAGCCATGCTCCATATTCCACAGGAAGTCGGCCATTTTGGTCCAATTGCACAACAGAGTCTCTTTAGAAGCTGGGATATTTTGCTAATGTAAAACATTTATAGTGGCAACTGAGAAAAGCATTACAGACTGTTTCATAGAGGTGGGTTATTGTTCCAACTAGTAATGAGTTACAGAGTTTGTTGGCAGGCCCAGAGGAGAGGTTGAGTCAGATTGGGGTGACAGCTCGCAGTGATCGCGGTTGGACGCACGTTGAGGTGGCTAAATTAGGAGAAGGGGGAGTAGAAAGAGATGAAGGAACTGGATATTTAAAGTTAAAATAGTTAGAAACACTTCCTAGTTTCTTACAAACACTATGTTTTGTTGCATTATCTGTCAAGGCTGCTCTGTTTCACCTCTGCTGTTTATTATTGTGACAGAACACAAGCAATTTGAATTAAAAAAACTATTCAAATATTGAACCATTAAATATGATGGGGAAACTCTCTGGAAATCTAGCAGATAACACAGTTCTATTTTTAAAAGATAAAACACAAATTTTAAAGGTGTTGAAGGGGATACAAAAGTTTTCTGAAGCACCTGACTTTAATTTGAATATGAAAACATGCGAATTTTTAATTATTCACCATGATGAGCCCCTTGACACGGTTTGTAGTATACCAATTAAAACATATGTAAAATATTTAGGAATTAATATATCAAGAAATAAAAATTTAAGATAAACATCTAACACTGAAAATACAATCCAGAAAATTAAAGTCATGTTTAACGGTTGTCTTCAAAGAGAACATATCTGAGAAAATCACCCAAAAAATAAATGAATGATAATTTTTATTTTCTTTTATTCGTTCTAATGTAAACTGCTAAAGAGTAGAAGGAGGAGAAATAGATGAACAAACTGGATTTATAGAGTTAAGCGTTACTTTAGAAACACTTGCAAACACGATGCTTAATGTTAGGGACTTGGTGCCGTACATTGCAGTACCTCGGGTGGTCGCTGGGGGCAGCAGAGCCAGTGTTTACAGCAGCAGGACAGCAGGCTGCACGAGCTCTTGGCTAGTAGCGTGGAGTTGAATTTGGGCACCCAGTAGTTTGTACTTATGCATTTTCTCTCTAAATACACGGAAACTCGAAAATAACCAAGGTGGAGTTTGTAGATTTCATTTAATGCTAACTTTTGACTCGATATGAACTGTTTGTTGATATGAAACAACTCACCAACGCGGAGAAAAACACCTCAAAGGTCTCAGCTAGCTAACAGTTCGTTACAAGGAGCTATTTGGCTAGCTGGCTAACGCGGTCCAGCCCAAATTTTGTTTACCTCGAGTGATTTTCGTCTCGGGCTTTTCGCTACTTTTCTCTGCGTAAGAATTACAGAATCAATAATCCACACTGGATTTAACAGCGGGCGCTGTTAGGAAACTAGCAGGATGTCCACTGAGGTCGAGTGTAGTCAGGTTGATTTGGGTTTGACAGCGGGCAGCTCCGGTGGGGTGCAGGAGAGCTCGGAGGGGGCTCGCCTGAAAGAACAAGAGGATCAGAAAAGCTTAGAGGAACAGCTAACAGATGAGCACAACCCCGAGGCTACCAAGAGCTCGGCGGACGCACACAAGAAGTGCAAAGAAAACGACAAGGAGAACGAGGAGTGCGTCGGCGCTGCTGACTCGGCTGTTCAGGTCGTGAAGAAGAAAGTTATTGAAGCTCCTCCACCGAAAGTCAACCCGTGGACAAAGAGGACCACCGGTAGAGTTCCAGTCAACTCCCGCTCCCAAGAGACAGGTGAGGCGTGTTTACGTTGACTTTTAGATGGGTATAACTGGTCTGACACCAGTGCTCCCACTAACAGCTGTTGCAGCATACTGGTAACTGCAAAGAACCCAACAGTAATAATATCAGTTTTACTAATCTGTCAGTCCACATTTGAGATGTTTTATATGTGAATTAAATCTATGAACTCCCCTGTCAGCGCAGGTGGTGTTGGTTGCACATTTGCCCCATCCCCCTCCTGTTCTCGGGTTGCTCCCGAGCACCACGTGCTGACTTTTGACAACTTAAGCTACGAGCAGTTTCTCCCTTTCAGTCCGCTTTCCCCTTCGCGGACTGAAAGGTGACAGCCAGCTTTTGGGAGATTAGTAGCTCAGGCGAAGTTGTGTTCGACCCAGAATCAGCTTCGGGCCGGAGCTGCTTTCTCACCTCGGTAATAAAAGCTAAAACAAGCAGCAGGCTAGCTGCCCCTGCTGTTGTAAAGGCACGTTTCACACGACCAATGGCCTGGCTGCCTGCAGGTCCTCCCACCAGTCAGATCGGGCTGTCATGTATGCTCAAGGTGCGTGAACAGGTGGAACGACAAGCTGAAGCTGCACCGGGCTGGAAACAAGCATATGTTTACAGTTTGGTAAAACTTGTAAATAATTCCAGTCCAGCTTTTTAAAGGTGGGGGTGGAATGGGGAAGTAAAAGTTCCCCTGAGATGATCACAAGCTAATTATGATCTAAACAGTATTTACCTACATGCATATCTGCATATTTTACACATAATTTTCAAATAAAACTTTTTCAGGTAATACTTAGAGTGACGATGTTGAAGTTTCTGTTTGAGAATGAAAATATCCTCAAACATGTTTATTTTTTAATGTATAAACAGAAGGGAAGGAAGCCAAAAGGTACATTTTGAATAAGTATTAACATTAACGTTCAGGACCCTAAATGCCTCTGTGAGCCCCTTAGGAGCTATTCCCATTTTATAAAAAAATAAAACAGAATAAATGCACTCAAAGTTTTCAGTCTACATTCTTGTGGTAGCTGTTGTTGGCAGCTGGTGTAAACGCAGTCTAAACTGCATAATTATGGTTTCTTTTTCGCTACTTGTGTTTTCTTTTGTATGAAACTTCCCAGAACAATAATGTCTTTATCGCCCGTTTAGAAACAACGTACACCCATCTGTTACTTTCCTGCTCAATAAAAGAACACAGCATTAAATAAATGTTAGAGGATTTGTAGATCTGCTAATCTTGGCAAACTCAAAATTTGACAATCCTCTACAGATCTGTTGTTCCAGTGCGTCGGAGTCTGTTGCCTCCTCTACTTAAAAATGTTCACGTCCTTGAAAACAAATCTTAAAAATAAAAGAAAAAACCTTCTGATCTTTTTAAATCTCACTTAAAGAAAGAACTTCAGGTACATTTTCATCTCATGTAAAATGCTGTCCAAAAAATACTATTTGAAATGCTTATTGTGAGTGTTTTGTTTCATTAAACATTACAGCGCTTTATTTTGAGTAAAAAGTGGCCCTTTTCAGCAAAGCTTCTAAAAACGCTCTTTTAAAAATCTCTGACATAACGATGGGGAGTTAGAAGCTAGTCCAGCCTGAAGCTCAGTGTGGTGAGAACTTAGTTTTTGAGTTTTAAAACTCCAGCAGGTCTGGACATCGAGTCCACGGGTTTCCAAATAAGAGAATAAACGCCACCATCTTCCATTCCTAGTGTGTTTTGTGCAGCTGAAAACACGGTCGTTTGTGATGCGCACTTCAGACCAGAGGATTACAATCCCAGTGATGTGATGGGAGTTCAACATGCCTCTTACCCCCCCCAGAGTCCCGTGCGGAGTTTTGAAAAATACTTGCGGGCTCCTAGAGCCCAGATCAGCATTGGAACCAGGTCAGGGAGGTCCATGCTGAGCTCCAGAAGAGGATGGGGAGCTTTCAAAAATCCCTAGTGGGCCAGGGAAGCTGGGTTCTGAGTCGAACCCAGGTCCAAACCGCCTGCCCCTAATAGGATGACAGGCCCCCCTCCCCGTCCCCCTCTCTAAAGCGCTAAGCTACGTTACATGAGCGGATTTTAACGAGTATGAAACACCTTAAACACACAGCAGTAGCTCAGGAGGTCAAGCGGGTTGTCCAGTAATCAGAAAGTTGCAGGTTTGATCCTTGCTCTGACCAGAGAATGCTGCTGTTGTGTCTTTGAGCAAGACACTTAACCTTCCTTGCTTGCTGGTGGTGGTGGGAGAGACCGGTGGCGCCAGTGTTTGGCAGACCTCACCTCTGTCAGAGCGCCCCAGGGCAGCTGTGGCTACATTGTAGCTCATCGTCACCAGCGTATAAATGGGTGAATGACTGTGTTGTGAAGTGCCTTGGGGGGTTGTAAAACCCTAAGAAGGCACTATACAAATACAGACCATTTACCATTTATTGTTGTCAAGAATCAATACTGACCAATAATATTTCAGTTGGGTGGTACTTGACAGTAATCTGTAGTAGAGGCTGACCGATATATTCAATTTTTACCATATCGGACAAAATTATTTTATAAGGCAGATTTAAAAAAAATAATAAATCAGGCACCTGTGAGGCCAACTGCTGCCACTACTAAACTGAAGAAAGGACCCAAAGGACCCCAACACACTTTTTTATGTTTTGAGTTTGTTTTATATTTGTAGTTCAATAAATATTAAGACATTTATTGACTTATTTAATTTATTTTTTGCACATAGTTAGTGTTCAGTTGTCTTTCACAATCAATGTGCTGCTAAAACGTGTGTGTGTATTAGTTCTGTGCAATATGGCCTAAAATCAACATCACAATATATTGAGGATTTCACCTCAATAACGATAAATGGATGATAACTACAGGTTTGTGCAGAAAAGGCGTGCTAGCCAGCATCGTTCTCTGAGACACCACAGCTCGGCTTCTCTCCTCTAGTCCTCGTTTCTCCCTCTGACTTGTCTCTGATCTCTGGGGCGTGCAGCAGGCTCATAACTGTGTGGTTGTAGTCCACCATGAGCTAAATTATAAACATTAGTTTAGTCATTCACAACCATCATGTTTTTTCTGAAACCCACTTGATCGTGAGCATGCTACTCGCTAGCTTAGCATTGGCTAATCTTTCCATAGTTTCACTCTTGATCCCAAACTTTGGAACGTATCTGCTTTTACAACGGTTTGTGTTTTTGCTGGTTTCTGGTTTTAAATTGTTTTATATATATCGATACTGATATAAAATATGGTTTTATGGTGGGAATTTTTCCGATATCGTCCAGTCCTACTTCAGACTTGATATTCCCATTGTTTCTATGATACTAACAAGCTTAACTCACCTAGTCCTTTTCAGAATTTAGTTTGGTTGCAGAGCCCTGGTCGAGCTGTTTGTGAAGATTTAGAAGATAGCCTTTATTTTGGTTCCCAGCCTTCCTTTTGTTTGTCAAAACAGAAAAAACATAAACAAACCTCCCAGGGGCTGGAAGACGGTCCCAGAAGAACATGTAATTAAAATAACAGAATTTAGAGAAGATACAAAACAATTAACCTTTATCCTAATTTCAGTGGTATCACTCGTGTTTTATTTTTGATGACTAATTTTACAAATCACTGGTGTTTGATTTGGTTACTTATTACCTGATATGTGGTAATTAAATCCACAGTCTGCAGCTGTTGGTGTTACAAAAATTGTTTACTACGATGGTGGAAAAGGAGATAAATGCCCACCCCGGAACCGGAGGGTTGCAGGTTCAAGCCCATCTGTTGCAGTCCTTGGGCAAGATGGTTAACCCGCCTTTCCTGCTGCTGGTTGTGATTGTAGGGACCGGTGAGGCCAGAGCTCGGCAGACTAGCTTCTGTCTGTGAGTCCCAGGATAGCTGTGGCTACAGTGGGGCAAAAAAGTATTTAGTCAGCCACCGATTGTGCAAGTTCTCCCACTGAAAATGATGACAGAGGTCAGTAATTTTCATCATAGGTACACTTCAACTGTGAGAGACAGAATGTGATAAAAAAAATCCATGAATTCACATGACAGGGTTTTTAAAGAATTTATTTGTAAATCAGGGTGGAAAATAAGTATTTGGTCACTTCAAACAAGGAAAATCTCTGGCTCTCACAGTAGGGCTGTCGCGGTAACCGCAAAAATGAAATATCGCAATATGAAGAAGCCCACCACGCTGCATCATGGGCCACCGCGATTACTGAACTTGGTTCAACTCAATGATGCATGTTGAGAAGGATGGCTGCACTGGTATCAAAACGAAACGTTACTTCGCTCCTTTGGGAGCACTTTGGTTTTCAGTACGTCAGCTGCTGCGCAGCCAGAGTCCTTGGCCGAGACGGAGCTGCCACCAGCGGCAAAACAATAATAATAAACGCTCGGAGACCTGCTGAAGTCCCAGACAAGCACTGCTTCTGCAACCGTCCCGAAGAGAGTTTGAGCCGAGCTGGAGCTCACTCGCTACCTGCAGGAGGAATGCATCCACCCTAAAGAAACCCCCCTGACATGGTGGAGCAACGACCGGGAGAGATTCCCTTTGCTCGCCAGAGTCGCACGCAGGTACGTGTGCGTTAGTGCAACGAGCGCACCATCCGAGAGGGTTTTCAGTGTTGCTGGAAATGTTGCCACCCCTCTCAGATCCTCTCTCAAACCGTATATGGTTAACATGCTGGTTTTCCTTGTGGGTAACAAGGACGTGACCGAGCTATAAATCACCGTCATTCGTGTGTGTGAAAGTGAAATGATAGTGCGGCCGCCCCCCGGCGCGCGCGCGCCCGGTACATGTAATTTTTTATGCTTGATTTTAAACAACTAAACAAAATGGGGACTTGTTTCTTATTTGTTATAACAAATGTTTGGCTGCAGCCAAATTTGCATTTAAAAGTTTAACCTCCTGAATTTTGTTGTTTTTAAGTTCAGTCGGACTCCAACTGTAGGAGAAACAAACGTTACTGCGATCTGTGTTGTTACTGCCCTTTGATCTGCATTCAGTAAAGTGTTATTAAAGAAGGCATGGCAATTTTTAA